TAGACGTAGGTTAACGCAGACACGATCTACCTTATGGGATTCGCGTGTAACCGAAAACTCACCACCGCATGGCGGTGACGTTGCCGTTGCTTCTATCTCTCTCAATCAACAGTAAGTTTGATATGCTGCTACGTACGTCAACCTACGTTTACGCTACGTCGTTGACTAACTGCGCTTTAATTTCAGCTTTAACGTTGTCTAAAAATTTTCACCAGTCCTTAAGCCGTACGCGCATGGTGTCGAAATTATAACAAACTATTAAGGTGAATTTAACTTTTCAAAAAAGATGAAAACTCATCGCGCTATTATTTTATATGTGTCGATTTTAATTTAAAATTAACAAAATTTACATTATTTATCGTTCTAATTAATGCTGCATACATAATCATGCAATTTAGCTACTTCTATCGTTTAAATACAATATTATTATTAAATTTTGTGTAATTTTTGCTTGTAACTAGAAAGCAGTTTTTATCTATTTTATGTATATATATATAACACATATCATGATTTTTTCCGTGAATACGTATAAGTACGCAGAAGTCGTTAAGTTTCAATCACATCAAAATAATTTAATCCACTGAGTGATTTCCCAAGCTTTGCACGTCCAACTCGCTATTGGAACTAAGACTAGGTGAAATTGTGGTTGAATTCGAGGCGAGCCCACGATCCAAATTATAATATTGCATCACCTTTTGTGGTGGCCGACTGGAAACCACTTCTGTTATCTGTGTAACTACCCATTTTGTAAGCTTTATAACGGCAATATGAGCAGCAAATTGCAAAACAATGGCGCCAAATCCTTTGTAGAGACCCGAAAACCCTTCTGTTGCCACAGTGGTGCGATAACAATCGATAGCGCCCTGGTAATTGGTTAGTATAGGCACAACAGCGTAGCCATTATCCAGATTATCAATAATAGTGCGTGTTCCTTGTAATTGAATACGATGCAAAATCGTTTCAAAGGGATAGAATATAATTTCTGTTGTTAGCATTGAAATAAGATTCGAGTAAATTTCAACATTTTGATTCTCCAAGGAGTCATCCTTATATTTTGCACCTTTACGTTCTTGGGCTTGTTGAATGCGTCGACGCATTATACGCGATGAAATACCCTTGATAACAAGTCTAAAGGAGATGTATACGAAATGAGATATTTTTTAATTGTGTATTGTATTTTATTTTACCCAAACAGATATTTGGTAATGCCCACGGACATGCAAGGGCCTATCAAAGCCCACGCAGGCAACATACGCCCTTTTTGTGGTGAGCTCCAATACAGCAAGCGTAAACTGCCTTCCCGGAAGACATCAAAGAGTCCGGGTTTCTCGCTAGCTATATCACTTTGTACCGTCTCCACTAAAGAAGCGGAATAAAAGGGCATCACAATGGCAATGCTCACGCTGAAGCAAGTTTAAGAAATAGTTATAAGTGTAACACTTTTACATTCTCATTGAAAACTACAAACCATTTCAAAATTAAATGTTGACCAAATCGTTTAAGTGATGTCCGGCTGTCCACTTCCCTGACAAATAAATAACATGTTAAAAGGTGTAGCCTAAAACATTTGTTTTAAATTACAAAAGTAATACTACAAACTCAACACATTGGTATATTTTGCAACATTTCACAAAACAAACAAATCGCTTACTTCGGCCACTGGGTAATTTTTGATACAACATCATCCACAGCCAACGACATTCCACGCACTAGCAAACAACTGCCTAGGCCCTTCCACAGCGTAGTGACACCTTGCCGCCGATGCAGGTGTATAATGCTGGGCACGAGTGCAAATGGATGCAGATGATAACTACGAGTATACATAAAAATTATAACCATTGATTAATTTTTTATTTTTTTTTACTATACCGTTTGGAAGCATTGTAAACTTGGCATTGTCTGCGCAATACGATAAAAGGGTGACTGAGCAGATTTTCGGTAACCAAGCTGACCCATTGAACACCTATGCCGAGATACTTCCGAATGGAAATCTCTATAAAAAAATAGATTTACGGTGGTTAAAATTCAACTTTATATACATTGTTATTATCCAATAAAAAAGTGGGAATGCGTAAGGAGAAGAGCTCTTTACGTTGTTTTGTCAGGCAAGTGTACAGAAAAGTTGATTTTACATGCGTTTAGTTCAATTCTTATAATTTCTCGCACACACAACCCATAAACAAATGCCTAGCAAAATTCTACGTACGTGTAACACCTGCTTCATCTTTATAGCCGCCATCAGCGACAAAGCCTCTGTAGAATGTGGGTCTTGCTTAACAGCAAATTAGAACGTAAACAAACAATAAATATTTAAAACCAGAAACAAGTTTAAACTAGCAAAACAAAACTGAAAATGAACATCAATGGTGGGTACGAACTAATACAAACATTTAGCTTATCTTTATAAGTTAGAGCTCACCATCCTCTTGACTGTCATAGTAGTTTTCGAGCGCTTTATGCTTTTCTAATGGTAATGAGAGATCACGCTCTGAGTTGACATACTTCATTCCTATTAAACCGCCTGCCGTCACGTCATGTGCGGAACCGGCCAAACTGTCGAGATAGGCTTGTGTATGGCGGTCATCTTGTACCGGTAAACTTAAAATGGAATATTTAATTTTTACCAATTTTTTTTTTAGGAAACAATAACCACTTACTGTATGTGTGAACGTTGTAAATTTAATGTGTTTGGTGGCACATGACTACTAGCACTAGTTGTAACGTTTGATGTGGCCATCATTGATCCCTGC